TTTCAAAACCGTTTTTCTCGACACTGGAAAAATTTTTTGAAGCTTTTTGAAGTTTGAACTGTAGAGGCTTTAATATGACGTAGCACTCAACTCTCTTCGATGATTGTTTGTGGTAGCTGATTTTGACGGGAAACGAAGAAAAAAAGGAGAAAAAAAATTAAATTCACCCAAATTAAATCCTTCCCCTTTTTTCAAATGGTCGGAACATAAAGGATAGCCAGTGGCTGTGTAAGTAGCACGGCATGTTTTGACCATACACTAAAAAATTCATAAAACTCTTTTTCATATTTTTAAGAAAAAAAGATCTGACGAAAACCTAAAAATTAGACTTATTTGACAGTTATAGTATGAAGACAAATTTGAACATCGCTTAGCCAAAAAAAATAATAAAAGATTGCAGAGTTTTTGCAGATTTTTTTTTGAAATATTGAAGTTTTTTATTCCAAAGATGGAATTAAAAAATAATTTTACTAGAGTTAAACTAAAATCTCAGGGCTTAATATTCTTTAAGAAGCCTGCTCGCTTGGTTTACTCGCTCATAATAGACTAAGACTCAAAACTTTCAAACCAATTTCTCGACTTTGCTTTTTTATATTGCTAGACCTACTCCGATGATTATTTGTGGTACCTGATTTGCTTGGGAGATTAAAAAAACTAAAGCACGCCCTAATTCAGAGTTTGTCCTTTTTTCAATGGCCAGAAAAAAACTGTCACAAGCACTCTCATTTCGGTATAACAATTTCTGAAAATTTGTTGTACCACATTTTCATGATCACAAAACGAAGAATCATTTTTTATAGCATTCCTATAACTTCAAACTTGTTCTGTTAATTCCTGTCGAATCAAAAACAAAGACATTCATTAAAATAACCAACAAAAGGTGATGATAATGGTCAACTTAATATAGCGGCGGAGAAACCGAAAAAAATGGTCCACAAATGACACGAATAGCTTCCAAACTGCTTCCTCTTCTTCTTTTTATTTCCAAGCCATTTTGATTCTTTTCCTGACAAATGCTAATGGCTTCTGGTTGATTACTTGCATGAGATATTTCTTATGCTGTTGAGAAGGACTTCTTGTTTGATGCCATGAGTTTGATTCAACGTTTTGAAGTGATCTGGTTCAAGACAACTTTTGTGGCGATCATTTTCATTCGCTTTCTAGGGCTCAGAAGATGAAGAAGTACCCCTGAAGTTATCAAGTTTGTGAGAAGGTAGGTTTAAAAATGAAAATTCTAAAACATATCTGTTGAAAAAAGTAGATTACGATCTAAAACATCTTGATAGAGGAGAAATCATTCGATTATAATTTTGTATTTTTATTCAAAAGAAGTTTGCAAAGAATGGAAGAATGTTTATTATTGAGGAGAATGTTTTTGATGATTATAACTGAAAAAAGCTCTTTTTTAGCTTACAAAAAATGGCGAGGAGACAACTGGTGCTCATATGAACAGTGACAGCTGCGACGAAGTAGACTAGTTTAGGTACGTTTTTGGAGCTAGGAGAAAACATGTTCCAAAAGAGACAATCTGAGCGAGCAAAAGTGTGACTGCATACGACACCTTCTCTCCAGAATCCACAGGTGGGAAGAATGTGAATCCAGATAGCAGATACATCAGAATAGTTGGAAAATGAGAAAGATAGTGTAAAACAAGCTGCGTCGTTTAATCCTAACATCAGCAAAATGATCATAAATATTCACGTTTTGGTCTCTGGCCCTGTCAATGGCCGTATTGACAGTTTGGCCGAATAAGACAGGTTGCAACAGTTCCCAATGATCGTTTTCCTGATACAAAAGTAGGTACATATGGTCTTTGTAAAAACCTGAAAATTGGTAATCGATTACCTCTCAGTTAACAACATTTGCATCAAAACTGATTTTCATATTAGATAAACTATCGAGCAAAACTTAGTTACGTCAATCAACTTCAAGTGTTGCACATGAACTAAAAAAAATCCTCTTCGTTGATACCTTTAAGCTCACTAGTCGATCAAGGAGGGTTATCTTGCAAGATCTTGCAAAATTCTTGCATATGAGGGTTATCTTGCAAGATCTTGCAGGATGGAGGTTATCTTACAGGATCTTGCAAGAGTGAGGTTATCTTGCAAGGTCTTGTATGAGTGAGGTTATCTAACAAGATAACCAACTCTGAAATTTCACGAAACCTTACTCAGAGCCCCAAAAAAAACTATAGGGGACCCAATTTGACTACGGTCACAAAAAAATCTGAGTTTAAGCTCGGAAAAAATTTGGTTAAGGAAATTTTAAAAATGTTCATATGTATTTTGATTTTTCATTTTTTTAAATGCAAATAGTTTCAGATTATCGTTATAATTTATTCATTTCAAATTAAAACTTTCAAAATCTTATTTTTTGACTTTACTCGAATTTTTCATCTAGTTTTTCATAGCGGTTAAATTACAATTTTTTGTCAAAATTTTGATGAATAGAGCTTGAGATATTTTTTATGTTGTGTTCAAAAAATCCGATAAATAATTATGCTCTTATTATTATCAGTTGATCTCTTATTTTAAAGTTGAATTGTTCAAAATTTTAAATTTTTCTTCTTACTACTGGTAAAAAATTACAAGAGTCTTGTGTAAAGTTTTTTTTTCACCAAACAATTATGTCTTTAAAGATCTTGCTATAATTAAGGTTATCTTTAAAGGATGTTGTCTTGCAAGAACTTGAAAAATCTTGCAAGATCTTTTAAAGAGACGCATCGTTTCTATAGAATCTTTCAAGATTTTTGCAAGATCTTACAAGATAACCTCCTTTGATCAACTAGGGGTGACAAAGTTTACAAATAACGCGTTTTGTTTAAGTTTCAAAACTAACCCGCGGTGATCATTGGATATTAAAACCTCTCAGCATCTTCGATTCTAAACATTACGAAGCCAAACTGTGTACTGGATAGGCGCACAACTTTGTGCTTGTATGTTCCTGGATTCCAGAAACAAGTCTTTGAACATGTTAAAATGTTTTCGGAACGATCAGAGTAAATGAAAGAACAAAAGAAGAAAAAAAGGAGCGTCCTTGGTGCGGAATCCGCTTACAATTCACAAAAAGCAGTTAGGCTTCAAAATGAATGCTTACTTAAATTATAGTGTTTATCGTGGCCATTTGGTGGCACCAAAACAATGGAGCATCTCTGAGTGTCAACCGGGAAATGACTCACGTCAACTGAACAGGATAGCTTGATTGTCGCATATTGAAACATGCTGTAGATTTCACCCTCATAAGTAACAACTTGACCGCCACTCATCTCTTAAAGAACTTCAGCTGCGTCTCGCATTGCTTTCATAGATGAATTAAAATAAATAATTAAATAAATAAATAAAATAAATAATCCCATCACCAAAACAAGGTTCACTCTTTGGTACGCATTTACGATTCTCATTATCGGCCATCCAAGCCTCTATTTTTCTATAACTTATTGACCAATATACACAATTTTTGAGGCGGGAAAAAGATGCAGTTTTTTAAATCAGCACTGTCCAAAAACTGCGCAAAATTGGACCTGGTTATCTTCACGTATAGCATCCAAGACCAACGACCAACCTTGAAATCATTTTCATATAAGCATCAGCGGGTTTAGGTCCCCGTTTGTACTACTTTGAGATATCCATTTTTGGCTGACTGACCCTAAATTTTTTCTAAAGGCGCCTTATAATACAAATTTTGAGGTGGGAGCGCGCGCCGAAAAACGCAATTTTATGGTCAAGTTTTTCCAAAAAGTGCCTAAAAACTGTTTTTTTCAACAATTTGACTGCGGCGCAAAACTTTTTAAATAAACTAGGGTTTTTATAGAGATTGAAGAGAGCTCAGAAAATCAGTTTGGTCGACCTAAAAAAGTTTTTTAAACCGCCCCCTCGAGAAAATCCGTCCCTGCCTAGAGTTTTTTTGTGAGGGTTTTTTAAAATTTCAAAAGAAAAAAGAGACCAGTCAAACGGGACGTTTTTGGGCGCCTTCAGAGAATTATCGGTTTGGTCAGCCGAAAATGGATGTGATAAAATAAAACTAAAAGGGGAACCTTTGGTTGGTCAGGGGGTCGAATCCCTGATATTAGGGATATTCTTAGAACAATGACTCCAAAAAAGCAGAAATTTTCCCATCAATTAAAAATACTTGGAGACTTTCCTATTGTTTGCCCAAGATACTTTCCTATCAAAATTTATTTAAAACTGTTCAATTTAATTGCAGCTTTAAATATTTTAATTTGAATGATCCTAGAGCCCATTCCACCGATTCCCTTATAAACAAGTTCTTACCAATTCTAGCTTTCCAGAATGTCCCCTGGGGCACATCAATGTGCTCAACTCCGTGGTAATCTTCAGGGTTCCATTTTGCGTCGTCCGATTCAGAGATGTACAAACTGGTAAGTTTCAGGGTTATTGTTCCTCCTTTTTCATCAACTTCAAGAATTTTGGAAATGTCGATATAAATTTGAACCAAATTGTTTTTAAGGGTCAGCGGGGGCTTTATAAGCGTCGAATTTATCCGTTATATTTTTGAGAAGAGCTCGCCCATAAGATATATTCTGCTCAAACTCTATTTTGTTGAAAAACATAATAAAAATAAAAGCCAAGAGCCAAGTAAATGTTGAAAAAGTTCGCATTTTTTCGAGTTGATTATTTGACTGAAGAAAAAAGGGGAAAAACTTGAACTGAGAAAAGTCTCACTATTTGATTTACTTTTCTAAAATTGGAATGCAAATATAAAATGAATTTTTTAAATATTGTTTCCCTTTAATTTTGTGCAGTAATTACTTTTCCTAGAGTAAAAGTTTAATTGAATTTGCCGGCTAGTCACATCACCTGGTTGTCATTCAATAATTCGAGTTGAAATGGTCGCTTTTGAAAAACTTTTTAAAGGCTCTTTTGGCACACTTTTCAAGGCAGGTATGATTAGCCGAACAATTTGAGTGGCAGAAGACTGCGCGGTATGCATGTCGAATATATGAAGGGCAGAATGGCCACTTAGATTTGTCAATAAATATGAACAACAAAATATTGAATTTTAAATTTTCATCAAAAACTGTGAAGAAACATCTTACAAAGTTAAACGTCGTACGAGTAAGACAATGATGTGAGTTAGTTAGTGGGGAAATCTTCCTTCTTTGAGCCAGTTCCGCTTACTTCCTGGAATCCAGTCGTCTAAACTAGACAGACCCCCTCTCTTCTCATCTTCGCCCTCCCCCTCCTCTTGTTCGTCTTCGTTGTCTTCATATCCCTCAGGGTACTCCTCCGCCCCCCTTTTATAGCCCATCATGGCCCCGTAATTCCTCATCATTCGGTCAAATTCACGCAGGCGTATTCAAATTAACCACATAACGACACGTTTAAAAGGCGATTTAACTGAAAATTTTTAACAAAATAGCAAAAAATGTCCTCTCAGTTCTTGCTGTTTGTCTCTCGTCCGCAAAAATATTTTGCCTTGCTAGAGATTTTTTGATATTATTTTCATCAAGTTTGGTTTTTAAAAAAATGGATCGAAAACGTCCATTAAATTTCAAAACAATGTTTCTTATAACACTTTTTGTCCGTTCCTATTTTCTAAAAAATTCCAAATCAAAAATTGTTTCGGCATGAATTTGTCCTGCCTTCGTTTATGCATGTCTCTCTTGAAGCCTCCAACATTATAAGCTGATGCTTCCTCCATCAAAACTGTCGCCATTGTGAAGCCAACCAGAACGGCCAAAAAGGTCCTAGAATTCATTTTTTTAATAATAAAGCCAATCGCCGGTTTGCGGAAGAATTTCTTGTCTTAGGTTTTAGGGAAGGATGATAACTGCATAAATGAAAGTTTTGAAAACAAGAGCATAAACTATTATCTCGTAAAAGTTGTTCCTACAAACTGGAAAATTAATTATTAATTCACGGTATTTCTCAGACTGCAGATGAAAAATTTTTGGAGACGAATTGTCTGCCGGAAGCCGCTGTCTTGAAAGATTTCGAAATCTCTAAGGAATGAAATTATAATTTCCTTTCTGATAGCTTTTACAAACCGCAGGTGGAATAAAAAGAAAAATAGAAAAAGTAGGAAAATGAGCAGTCGTAAAATTGAAATACTTTGGTAATTTGAAGTTTTTTATGGGTGTTGCACTTTCTCAAAGATGAAAAAGAAGTCTTATTGTTTTGCAAATGTATATATTTCCAAATAGAAAATGAGTTTAATACTTATTGACGAGAACTCAGTATTCCGCAGAGACAACGATGGCTCCAATACAAATCTCGGATTGCAAGACATCAAAAGGAAGTTTAAATTTTCTTCTTACATTTATCAGGGTTCTATCCAACAAAAGAGGTTGCTTTTTCATTTAAAAAAATGGTTCCGGTGTCTGCATTTTGTGTACGGCGAGTATGAGTACGGAATTGTCCGGAAATTTCTGAAAAGTCTGATTTTCTGAGCACTCCCAGAACACTATGAAGACCCTATTTTTACAAAAAAAACTTGAGCAAATATCTGAAATAAAAACAAGTCAAAAAGCCGTTTGGAAAATTTTGAACAAAAAATTGCGTTTTTTCGGCGCGCTCGCCTGCAAAATTAGTACATATTGGCACCGTAGGCACCGTTAAAAAAAGTGGAGTTGGTCGGCATAAATGGATGTCATAAAATAATACCAAAGGGGGTCGAATCCCAGAAGAAAAATACCCTCCCCTAAATCCGCTCCTTGCTAAAAGCGGGAAAACAGATGACTGTTTTCTAGGGGCGGGTTTAAGGGGGTTGGCAGTTTGTATTAGGACGAAGCTCTGAATGTTCTGACCATGCGTTTAGTGTCCATGAAGTAGACTTTAATTTTTAAATATTTGACAAACTTTAAATGATATACGATATATTAATTGATGTATCAATATATAACGAAAATAATATATTTCGCATCTACTACCTATTATTTATACCATCATGAGAGACCATACATGCGTCAATTTATCTTAGTGTTTTTTAGAGTCCGATTGAATTGTTGTTTATGCGTTGATGAACAAAAAGAAAAGCGCGTTAATTCGCTGCTTACACATTATAGAACAAAAAACGCTTTATAATAAATTAATCTAATTGGAGTTTTGTTATAAAAAAACACGTAATTATATGGTAAATTTTTACAGGTAAAAGCAGTAGCGGTATGGGGGGCGGACGTTCTTTAAAGTGCAAGGAGGCAATTTGGGGGGTGCGGACAAAAAAAATGCAGTTTTGCTTATCAAAACTTTCCAAAAAGTGCCTAAAAGCGCCTTTTTGGCCTGTGCTTTTAAATCTTTTTACCTGCGGCGCAGAAATTTTTCTCAAAATAGGGTCTTTACGGTGATTTAGGTGATTTGGGAGAGATCTGAATCTCAATTTATTCGAATTTAAAGAAGGTTGCTTTATCCGCAGCATTTGCTGTGCTTTATCCGAAAACTAAGCATTTGCGCTCATTAGTTGTCCCAAATTGACAAAAAAGCATAATTGAGCTCAAGGTATCAATTTCAGACGATATATCTGTCAAACACGTTAAAAGATGATATATCACAACAATTAGACTAATTGTTGTGATAAGCATATTCAATACACTACTGAACATGGACTCGGACAAGAACCAAACCCAAATGAAAAAATGCTCAACTTGAGATTCCAGGACCAAACCTCTCTCGACATCGGCAGAAAGGAAGACAGGCCCAACATCAAAAGACTCTTCATTATGCTGAGCCCAATCAGAATAATCTATCATCCAGACACAATGTAAGAATAACCGGTCTACTTGGGAAATTGTGTAATCTGAGAACCTAATGAACAGGTTTCCTGTATGAACAAGAAAACGTAACGCTAACTAAGGCGATTGCTTTAGCAAGACAAAGTGATGCGACTATTGATGAAAAAGATGTATTCATTGCGCATCGACTTCGAGAGAGTTATGTACGAATGTTCTAAGACTTGACCTGACCAAGGCTCAACTTTTGAACTTGATGAGAAACTATTCCCGTCTTGAACATGCCTGGACAGACGAAAAAAAAATTTAAGGGAAGGAAGTCAACGGATTATTAAAATTTGATCAATTGTTTGAGGGAGGGAAGCTGCTAGAAAACACTTACAATGATGTCATAAAAGGTTTTGACAAACATGTTTCTAGCAAATCATCAACATCGCCAAAAATCTAAAACACAGCAACTGTAAAACGTTTATGCTAATATGATGGCTTCACTGTCTAGTGTGCGTTCGTTAAAAGAGCTTCACAAAGATGTAATAGGACTTCATAGTGGTCTGGAGTCTCCTATTAAAACAATATATTTAACAGAATCTTGGTTAATTGAAAACTGACGATCTCAATTTAAATGTAATCAAAGATTTTCACACCGTTATCACGAATAATGGAGTAAAAAGACGTGGTGGTAATCTGATACAATTTTCAAAAATTAACTGAAACACTTGATAGTGTTTTACCAGAATCCATGCCATATCTCATTACTTGTTGAAATTGATGCAAATAATTGGGTTATTGCGTTACCACGCTTCAATAAAATTCATTTTTCAATGACCTCAATAAAAATTTAGAAAAACTTGCTCAATCTAATTAATCAATAATCGTAGTTGGAGATTTTAATATCAATATTTTAGGAAATATGAGTAAAAATTTATTGCAATCATGCCTAGGTTCAAAAAAAGCCAAATGGTTTGAACAATTGAATAAGCCTGCAACTCGATTGAGGGATTTCTCAGAAACACGTATAGATCATTTTATAACACGAAATTTGGAAAATTTTATTATTGAAGTACTGGAAAATGAATGCTTTTCCGACCACTATCCGGTGATATCAAAGGTTGGTTTTTTCATGAAAATTCGCTCATCGGTTATTGTTACCATGATATGTCATTCTTAACAGAAAAAAAAGATGAAAAATTTCAAAACAAAACCGGGAGTTTTCGAGCCTAACCATTGATATAACAACTAACACTCTTTTCAAAAGTTTAATCAAGGCCTTCTGAGGTTTTAAAATCATTTTGCTCCCGGACGGGAAATGTGACCTAAAAACAAGAATAATGCTCCTTGGTTTCACAAACACTTGAAAAAATCTGTCCTGAATAAAAATCAAATATGCAAAAATTGAGTCAGAAAATGGTGATATAGGCAGAAAGCAAAAACTTCTTGCTGAAAGTCGGAAAAAACGAAAAGTTTTCAGACTAGCCAAAAAAAACGTAATACTACCATAAGTTTACTAACTGTATAGGAGACTCGACACAAATGTGTAGGACTTTAAGTGAAATTAAAAGTAAAATCACTATACGCACAAAAGTCGAATTACTTATTGTAAATGAAAGAAATTTGTCTGGCTCTCCATCAAAATTTATCGCTTTTATAAATATTTTCTCAACTATTGGCACCAAATTGGCTAAGATATCAACGACTGTGGAAGTTGTTGATCCATTGTACCCAGATTTTACAGCATGTGAATCCATTTCTCTATTTAACTGCTCATTTGTCGAGGTGAAAAAAGTTATGTCTAGTCTAAACACCAAATTGACATATGAGATATATGAGATTAGTAACTTTTTTTTCTCTTGGAAAAAAATTGTTTTTCTTTTTGTTTTTTAAAAAACGCTTTTGATACACTTACTCACTGAGTTCTGTTGAGAAAGCTCGAAAGCTATGATGTGCGTAAAATTGTTACAAATGGCTTCAATTTTAATTGTCCAACAGGTCTCAATATGTAAATATGAATAACTGTTTCTCTGATTGGCTATGAATCACTACAGGTGTATCTCAAGGCTCTGTTTCAGAACCTCTTTTTTCTGGCATATATGCTTCATGCAGTTTTCTTTTCAAGTGCATTTGTTTGCTGATACAAATGTCGAGGACTTTTAATTAGGCTTGTCAAGTATTTCATCCTGGTATTGTCTAAAAAAGTTAATCGTAAGCTCTGGTAAAACTATCCTCAAAAGTTACGAAAATTTAGAAGTGCTTCTTATCTTAATTTGCTGAGATTTTTGGCACTAAAAACACTTCTCTGGCGTCTTTTGATTGAATGGCCGATCGAACGTTTGTAAAACATCCACTTATGTTTTTTATCCGGCTATTATCTACAAAGCAGCTTCATCCATCATAAAGAACAATTTCTTTCATTTGGTTTGAAAACAACTCTGGTGGCGAGATCTGATTAAAAACGGCGTTTTCTTACCTCATCATCCGTTGAAACGTTGGATCCCAGCTGGTTACCAGAGTTGATGTTGGAAATGCCGGCTCTGCTAATGCACACAAAAGCGGTGGCAGAGACAGGGCAGTAAGGCAGAGGTCGGATTTTTTTCTTGCTTTTCCGTTAGCAAGACTCAAACCTAGCGTCCCAGATGCCAAAAGATCTATCCAGCAGCCTGATCCGGAAGATTGAACTTCCTGATTTCGTGCTATTTCTTTTGACGCTTTGCGTAGAAGATTTCAGCTTTGCAAGTCGTGTTTTCAATCATATCTCCTTACTGGAGCGGGCTGATGTCTTGGCCCGTTAAGTTGATTTCGACGCGCAAGTCGAACTTTTCAAATGCTGGAATCCAGGACTGGCTTTAGAAAAATAAATGCCAAACTTTTGCCAAGCCAGCAAATGATTTTAGACAAATCTCGTCGTACTACATACTCTCACCATCTGTGATCAATCTGGCATCGTCTCGTAGTCATTTTTTTCTTACTGTTTATCAAAAGATCAGAAACCATCATGGTAACCGAAACTTGTACACATGTCTTTCATCATTTAATCCAGTCAAACACCTTTAAAACTTCATTGATAAACAAAATATTAGATCGTTTAACTTGAAGCAAAATAAGAAACGCGAGAGGATTGGAAATCAAAATAACTAGATTGAGGAAACTAACAACTACGCAGCATAAACTTAGGTTGAAAAAGATTTGACCTGATGTGAGGCTACGGGTCTATTAGATGATATGTAAGCCAGACAGCGTTTATGTTGCTTTGGCTCTACTCAAAAAAATATCTGGGAAAACTAGTTTTTGCGAAATGCACCGGGTTCCGCATTACATAGTTGCTCACAGCGCTTACTTAGAAAAGAATCAGTGCTAGTACACCCTGAATATGGAAAGCCAGTGGTCGAAAACGATGACCATTTTGAAATAGATTTCTATATTTTTCAAAATTACAATCTCTCGCTTCGACCGCTGTCGTTCCAGAGTTATAAATCGAGCCTGAGTTTTTCTAATAGGGTTTGGAGAAATGAGTTACATCTGAGTTAGGACCGAGTTGGTTAACTCATAGAGTAATTTCGGATAGGGTACACCGTCTGCTCGTCACGCTATCTTATTTTCGGCCGGATAGATTCGTGCAACTTCTTAGTCTAATACCGATCCTAATCTTACTCTTATACTATCTAGTCTCAGGTTGTTTAACTAGTCTCTGCTAGGCTCAATAGATCTAGGGTATACTGGTCTATTGCGGCTGTTGAAGTGCTCGGGAGAGTCCAACTAATTTCTAAGTTAAATTCAAATCTCTCTGGTGCTGAAATTACAAGTAACTTCAGCACTTACAAATAAGTGGGTTGTTAGTTAGATGGATCATGATTGGTTAATATTAAATACTTTACATTGGTAAAATATCTAAATTATCCAATCATAAAATGTAGTTTAGATCAGGTTCCACCCATCCGGGTTTTACAGAGTTTTTTAGAATAGTTCTTCTGCAATTCGAAGGATGGATGATGGACGTTGGTGTTTGGCGAACATCTTATTTCTTCTGTTTCCTTTTTGTTAAAGAAGTTCCAGGAAGCTGGAGTTAGAGACATAAGACGTTGTGTCTTCTAGTGACAACGACTAAGTCTTCGCAACAAACTCAAATCTGATTTCAGAATGGTTGGCTATGTCAGGTTTTTCTGTTCTGCGTGGAGAACTTCTTTTGTGTCTGATCTAGTTTGGGAATGGCGTGGAGATTGTGCGTGGAGGGGATGCCTGGTTACTCGGATCTGTACGTATACTTGAACATCGAGGTGGTCATTGGTCTAGTTCAATGAAGTCCTTTTCTGCGAAGTCAAGTCGTACTCTAAATCCTTTGAGTTGTGATTGTGAGGGGCATATCGATTGTGGTTGGTCATTCTCTCTCGAGTGTAGTGGGGTCGTTTTGTCTTTAGATGTTCGTCCTTGGTGTTGTATTCTGATCTATGTATTGCATAATGTAATTTACATTTTATAAAACATTTATTAGTTTAATATTTTTTAATTATGATTTTAGTTAGTTGTTTTCACAAAAGCTTTTTGTTTTAGTTCGTTTATTTTGAAGAGTTACTCACACTTGAGTAGCTCTTATTAAAAATAGAGGTGTGGTCACAAAGCGTGGATGTAGCACGGTGGGTTAGGCCAGCTATAGAGCATGCTCAGGACGTCCTTCCTGGTGGGTTAGGCCAGGAGTGGGAGTATGATTTCATGCGGTTTTTGTGAGGGGTCCTGTTATGTGACAACGTTTTATGTTGGGTTTGTTGTGGTTTTTCTTATGTCTTGTTGGTTATGTCCTTTTTCCAAAAAGCAAATTGTTCGTGGTATGGGTTTGTCTTTCGACTTTTTTGTGTTTTATTATTTCTTTCTTAGACTTTATAATAGTCTTCAAAAGAATAAATTATCCAGTTTTAAACTGGGTTAATCCGGTTTGGGTACCGTTGGTTTCCTTTTCTTAGTCATGCTGTTATTCTATGATTTGTGGTATTTAGTAAGCTGCGTTGGTTAGTTTTGTTTAGTATATGATTCCTTTCCAACCGGG